TGATCAGTCCTGACGTAGAAGCAGCTCCCAAGGAGGTAGTGCCTCCAATGGGTTAGTGCTGTATGAATCGCATACAGCTCCTTCTCATAGGTGGACTTGGCCAACTTTTGAGAGGGCATCTTTTTAGACATGTACTCAACAGGCCTCAAATTTGGCCCCTCCTCCTGTGCAAGCACGGCGCTTATGCCATGTTGGCTATAGCGTTTGTGGTTACTATAAATGGCTTGTCAAGATCAGGAAGTCATCGTGGTGCATCAAAGCATGTTTCAGATGTTTGAAAGCAGCTTCACACCTGTCTGTCCATTCCCATGGGGTGTCAAGGCGTGTCAGGTCCGTCAAAGGGACGGCCACTATGCTACAGTTCTTAATAAAATTGCGGTAGTAGCCGATCATCCTTAGGAAGGACCTCATTTCAGTCACAGAGCGAGAGCATGGCCAGTCACGAATGTTGGCTGCCGTCGTGTCATCGGGCTTCAATCCCTTCGCGGAAATCTCATGACCCAGGTACAAGATCCAGGTGCGTCCAAACTCGTATTTTTCCCCATTGATCTTGAACAGGTGCTGTCGTAGGAGGCTAAGGACTTCATCTAAGTGACCAACATGCTCCTCGACAATCCTACTAAAGACAAGTATGTCATCGAGGTACACGAAGACAAACTTGTGTAAGTACTCATGAAAGATCTGGTTCATGACGTGTTGAAAGGTGCCAGGAGCATTGTAAAGGCCAAAAGGCATCACCACAAACTCATTCAGACCGTACGTGGTTTGAAAAGCGGTTTTGTGTTGATCGATGGGCCGTATTGCAATCTGATGGTATTCGGACTTCAGATCTATCTTACTGAAGTATCGGCATCCTTGCACTCGGTCTAGTAAGTCGTCGATGCACAGCAGGGGCTCTTTATTATTGATAGTGATAGTGATGGCATTGAGGCCCCTATAGTCAATGCACATCCTCAAGGTTCCCCCATTCTTTGGTACAAATAAGATAGGAGCCCCGTAAGGGGAAACACTCGGCCGGATCCAACCCTTTTTTATGAGGTTTTTGAGTTGTTGACGAAGCTCGTCAAACTTCATTGGAGACATTCGACAGATCCTACCCTTTGGAATACTAGACCCTGGGATAATCTCTATTGCGTGGATGACCTCTCTCTCGACAACCCCTTTCGGCTTTTTGAATAGATCAAGGTATTTAGCGACTACTCCTTCCATCTCTGGCGACATCTTCATCGGCTCGCATGTTGCAGAGAAATAAACTAAGTACGTACCTTCCTCCGGATTTTGCTTATAATAATTATAGAATGTGGCCGCACACATGCATCCATAGGACTCGATCAGACTACTAGCCTTGAACTTGTGTAATTTGGCTGTCCCCCCTTTCGGGCAAAGTGTGTTTGACCACTTTTCGGTCCCAGTCAAACTGGGGCTGTGCAACTGAAAGATCGTGCATACCCAACAGGATGTCCATTTGGAAATCATCGTTGATTAGGAACGAGACGTGATGTCTCAGTTCCCCTCTCGCGTACGGGAAACAACACTCAAACGTCCTTAAACCACCAGTACCTCGATCAGCTATCGGACGGGGGGCCTTCCCATATACGCGCCGCATTCGAAGGGGCACCCACCTTGCCACGACCGGTAGCGCGGAGGACTCGGACACAAAAATGGAAAAAAAAAAAAAAAAAAAAAAAAAAAAAACGAAATCGAACAAACAAAGAAAGAAAAAACAACGGGGGAGGTGGTGGGGAACGGGGGAAGAGTGGCGCATCTTTCCATGTTCTTG